TCACTTCTTTATTTAGTGCCTTTTTAGCGTTCTCGAATGCTTGGATCGCGTCTGGTGATAATTGGAATGTCCGTGCGTTTCCGCGTAATGCATCTGTTAGTGGTTGCAATATTGACGCGCAATTCGGGATAAATCGTCTGTAATAATTTATTAACCCGAGAAATCGGCGTAACTTTTTCCATGAGTCGGGTAGGGGATAATTCCTAATGGCGTCGACTTCTGTTGCTATTGGTGTGATGCCTTGAGAAGTTATATTGTGACCTAGGAACTGTAAAGATTCTTTTCCGAATTCACACTTCTCAATATTTATAGAAATGCCGTGTTCTCTGAGTCGCATAAATAATTGCCGTAGTTGTTGTATATGCTCATCCTTAGTGGTGCTAGCTACTAATAAATCGTCGATATACGCGTATACCCCAGGTAAACCTCTAATGACCTGGTCGATAAACCGCTGAAAGGTTTGTGCCGCGTTAGTCAGTCCAAAAGGCATACGCAGGAATTCATATAGCCCAAATGGGGTTGTTACTGCTGTCTTCGGTATGTCTTGTGGGGCAACAGGGATGTGGTAGTATGCTCTGACTAAGTCGATCTTCGAGAAGATAGTAGTGCCTTCTATACTGTAGGTGAAATCATGAATGTGCGGTATAGGATATCTGTCAGCTACCGTTTGTTTGTTTAGTGCTCTGTAATCCCCACATGGCCTAACCTCTCCATTCTTTTTCGGGGCCATATGTAGCGGGGATGCCCACGGGCTGTTCGATGGCCTTATAATGCCTAGCCTCATTAGCTTGTCGAATTCCTGTTTTGCGATGGCTAGTCTTTTGGGATCTAACCTTCTTGGTCTTGCATTGATTGGTGGACCATTCGTTACGATGTGATGCTGAATAGAATGTTTGAGATCCGCTTTATTGTATGTTACTTTTACGAGTTCAGGGAACTCCCTTAGCAACAATTTATATGGATCACCACAACTTTTATCTATCACAAGGTTCATTGAAACGGCTTCCGTAAGTATTCCTCTTATCGAAGTGGTTTGACTGCCGTTTATAAGTCTGTGTCGTCTAGAGTCTACTAGCAGGTCAAAGTTACATAAGAAATCTATGCCTATTATGGGCATCGATACGTCTGCTATGACAAAGTTCCAACGGTATGAAGCGCCACGTCCAAAATCTAGGGACAATTTCCGTTTACCATATGTCTTAATATCTGATTTGTTTGCTGCTCTTAGCACTAACGACGGGTTAATGTTTTTTCTTTCCTCGTTAAATGGAGGTACTACGCTAATTTCCGCTCCAGTGTCAACTAAGAATTGTGCGCCAGTGGTCCGGTCTTGTATATAAAAGAGGCGACTATTTTCAGGCATTATGTGTGTTGATGCTGTTGCCATTGATACTCGTGGGTATCGGTTACTATTCCTGTTAAATCTACAAGGTTGTAGGCACTTTCTGGCCCTGTAGCCGAACATTTGATGATACCAACATATCGCGGGAGTTGTGCGTCGTCTAGAAGTTGACCGGGTCCTTTCACGCGAACGATCTCGCGATGACCTTCGTGGCTTTTCTCTCTGCGTTAACTCTGAGAGTTTTCGGCACAAAACATTTATTTCCTTCTGTAGAGTATCAAGTCTATCGTCTACCGTCACATTGTGTAGTGGAGGGCTTGCTTGCTTGCTTCTTTCGTATATTCTATCGGCTATCTTTGCTATATTGTCTAAATCAGCATCCGTATCTCCCACAGCTAGGATCTGCTGTATATTTGCAGGGAGTCGGCGGAGCCACAGTTGATAAAAGAGATTATTGTCAATGTGTCTATCGCCAAGTAAACTTTTCATATAATTTTTTAGTTGTGATGGGGTTCTATCTCCATTTGTACTTGGTTAAGAAGTTGTTCGACGGCTTGTTGGTCACTGAGAGAGAGAGTTTTAATTACAGCCTCTTTTAGCACGTCGTATGGTTTTTCTGTGTCTGGTTTTGCTAGTGCCTCTCGAACGCTGTCAGCTACTTCGTCTGGGAGTAGTGTGCTTGTCAGGCCGAACTTATCCTTTTGCAAAAGAATGCGGTTAGCGAGAAAATAATTTTCAAGTCTTATAAACCAAAGTTTTGGGTCTGCGATTTTAAAAGAAGGGGCAGGGAGGTTAAGAGACCTCACGGACGAGGCTTGCTGTACGCTTGAAACTGTGTTTTCATAAGACATGCTTATAAAAATTAAGTAGCACACGAAAATACTTTAACAATCACAAGGAAAAATAGACGGGTGAAAACAATGATAATAAAAAAATGGCACAATTTATAAAATGGAACAGACTTACTAAATTGCACCAATATATCAATTGTTTATGAATAATTGTTATTTATTATGATTATAATTGTCACGTTTTAATGTTTGCGAAATAATGTAAGTGTAATTAAAATAATAATATAAATCCACAGTTGTAATTATAGTTCATTTAATAATCCAAATTGAGATGAAGGTAGTCGGATTTTTGGAATTTGATTATTTCGTCAAAATTCGCTTCCCGTTCTCACGTCGGGATTACCAATTCTGTAGTGGCTGTGCTTCGTTAATTAATCACCCTCGAACCGTTATCGTATAATCTTCAACGATGTTTGAAATCAGAAGGCAAATAGAAGCAGCTACTACAGTTTATTTAGTAGATAATTCGGACCAGACAGCAGAGAGGCAAAATGAATGAGCAAGCGAACTACGATTGTAGCAGTAGCAAGTAGTTGTAGTAGTAGTAGTAGTGAAGTAGTGAATGCATGCAAATGTACACATATATATATGTATAGGAAAATGGATGAGTCAGCGAATAGATTAAGCAGTTAATAATGAAGCTAGCAGAATGAATACATGCGTAGGCGCTAAACAATGTTCAAGCATATGTATTTCATACAAGCATAATAATAAAGATAATACAACAAGTTGTTATATCATGGATGACTTTGTCCATTAAATAGGTCAACAAAAGACCTTGACTGAACTAAACTCAATTGCACGTGAGTCACTATACGTGTGTGTGTTGTGACAAACATCATAATATTCACGGTCGGTGCAATATATACATTGTAAACTATATTACATCACTACTAAACTGACATTTCAACTTTCACTCTACAGAAGATGAAATCCAATTAATTATGTAGACGTATGATCGACTCTTATTATTGTTTTATTGAAGTTTTATTATATAAATACTGAACATATTGATTAAGTGTGTAGATTCGAACGAAAACCTCATTTGATTAGCAATAAAATGAATAGAGAAGAATTACTATACTCACATAAATAAATGTTACATACACGTATTCTACCATATCGATCTCGTAGTAGACCATCAAGTCTACGGAAATTGTCATGTAGTTGTTGATTATCTATGAACAACAAAATATACGAATGTAATTTATGTATTAGGATGTGTATGGATGACAAAGATAGGTATATTCATTAAGAAAATTTACCTCGTATATTGTTAGAAGTGGGTAACTGACAATTTTCATTTCTGTAGTCATTCTCCAATTCTGGATTGGTGTGAGAATGAAAGGACAAATGTTACAGAATTGCTCAATCTATAAATGACAAGTCAACTATCATTCATTATCCCTATTTGAACGAATAGAAATGACTTAGAAGCTACTAGGTGAACAGTCTAGATGGACGCTTTTCATATAGAATCAATCATGTTGCATACAACTCAAATAAGCCACCTATTATCAACAATACATGGAATTTCACGTGTCTGTGATTCGCACAACATCGATGAATATTGGATCATTGAGTGATTCATCACACAAAAAGTATCATCAATTTCAAATATTTCAGTGATATATTTGCTCTGTACACTTCGAACAATCTGATCAAAGTGACAATTGACAAGACATTTCATATGAAAATTAATGAGCGATTCCAGCAATATATGCAAAACACATCATCGTTGAATAATTCAAAGGAAACATAAGTGCCAAACACTCATTAGTAAGTATTCACACTCACTTGTATAAACCGACTGTTCTTCAGTGAAACACTTCTTCATTATATCGGAATTTCGAACAGGTATTCCTACAATTCAATAGTCAAATAAGAAGGTTTACATTCGTTAAGATTACAGAACCACAACTATGTAGCACAGAGAGTTCTTCATCACAGACATTCAACCACATTACAGAAACATTCACAAGTAAATGGAATGTTGATGTCAAGTATATTAAATGATGATTGTGTTGCCATACAAACTGCATTTATCATCAACACATTTCAAATATTGTGAAAATGTTGATGAAATGGCATGAATACCGTTTCAGCTGTGAAACACGATCAGTACACTGGAGGAAATTACACATACCATGTATCTTTTCTTGTATTGTCATTTCATTGATTAACTCTAAACATTGAAGGACAAGAGAATGTAAAGTAGCAATGAAACACAATGAATGAGAGATAAACTCGAGTGATAAATCATGTTTCACTATTCTATCATTTATTTATTTGCTTATTTGTTCCGAAATCTTTTATTCGTATGTTCATTACATCATTCCGACGATTGATGTAAGAATTTAGGGACAAACATTGAAATACAATAATGTTGAGATGCTTATCACGAGACTTGGTACGAGGCAATATCGGTATTTGTATTAGTGTGAAACCACCAGTTTGACATGTACCCATTCAGCAAACTCTCTGTGTGTGTGTGTGTGCGATCACCTCATCTGTATGCACAATTGATGTGAGTTGGTCGGATGTTGAGTGTGTTTGTTGTGAAACACTCAAATACTATCGAACTCCATGCACACTGTTGCCATGTTTCATGTTACATGTTGTACAGTTGAGTCTAGCTACACATCCCATGTCTGTACCCTATATATACCTCAAATTTTCATATTAATAATCAAATCATCAGATGTATAAATACTTCACACATACATCACCATCGTCAACAACAAAAACAATTTGCAGACGATGGAATTCATCAATGCCGAAGTGAAATACATTCGGTACACACTGACCTCCCATGAGTATCTTTTGTTCAATAGATTGATAAAGTTTACTTCTGCACATCATATCTACAATCATCAGATAAATTTGTTTGATTAATTCATGTTTCAACATACATTGATCAATTGATTGATGTTCAGTTGACAATTCCATATTGATTTCATCTGAAAGATGAACGATAAGTGATAAGTTGTATCTGCATTTAACCGACAATACGATCATTTATCTGTTAATTGCTTACCCGTCTATGCTGTATACATTTCTACTTGCTTAAATGAACTTACTTCTCACATCTTGTATTTCTTTCTGTTTTGTTCTGAATCTCTTGATTAGTCCATCTAAATGTTCTACAATTTCGAAATCGATGGAATGAGAACAACAATAATTATTAGTACTAAATGATGATTATCTGGATATGATGCATTGCATTCTATTTTAGGAATACAGATTGAAATAGCATTCATCAAAATGTTCAGCTAACTATACTTGTGGATTCGAATCTTTCTAGTAAAATAATAATTGTCCGAATGTAATTCTTATAGACTGTGACGAATAGGTTGTTAGAGTTAACCTCTTCAGATCTCGTTTTCACGGTTTTCTTTTCTTTCTTCTCTTTTTTCTGTTTTCCCGTAATTTGTAAAAGAAACTCGCTGAGAATTCTATGTTGTATCCGAAATATAATACTGAATGAAGCCAATAATAGCAATAATAATCGTTTGAAATAGTGCAGGTGCATCTACTCTTTGTGTTCTGCCAAATTCTAATCTTCTCAATTCTTCATATCCCTTTCTTGTTTTTCTCTTTCAAAATTTATTTCACTGGATTATACCCATTGAATAACATATTCAAACCCTGATCTTTCCCATTACTGTTTATGCTCTTACTACCTATACCACTATGAGATTTGGATGGACTATTGTATCTTTGTGCTAATGGGGGTATGGTAACTCGAACTGATGTACGTAGGTACGTGCGTACGACGTTCTACGTTGTTACTGACTGACTGACTGACTGACTGACTGACTAACTGAATATCTGTTGGACCTAGATCAAATATTACAATTTCATTTTTAATATACGAAATTAATATGCTTCATAAAATGTAGTGGATAGGATAGGATAGATAAACATGATATATTCAACGTACGTTTACAATTTGTTATTGCCATTTCTACATTAGATTTTCTCTCTTCTAAATTATCTGTAAACATGGTGAAATGGATAATTCTCAACCATCCATATGAATGGTGATTTTTTGAAAAATAAATTCAGTTTCTATGTAAATGTGATCCACTATGAGTGACGTATTCATCACACGTTACAATCGATTACATTCAACTTGTAAGAATAAACATGTCAATCATATGTTCACTTCCTCAATAGTTTCTACCTATTTGTGTGGTCTGTATGACGAATTCAAATCTGAATGATATTTTCACAAGGATAAAGGAAATTCGATAGATTGAATTTTATTTTGGACGATGTTCGATATGTATAGGGAAACAAGAATCTATGATAACCTGTGGAAGCTATTTTTCGGGATGTTTTTTCATTTCATTCAAAGCTTGTAAAACCGTAGCAATGATCTTTTTCCTTAATCTATTGTTACTCCTCCTGGAGCCCCTCTTGGGATGTTTCCGGTTGAAATCCCGGATAAGGGTGGAAAGTTGAACATGGGTTAGCGACCCGATCCCGTAGGAAAATAACTCGCTAAATAAACACTAACCAGAGAATATAATTCTAGTTTGTTCTTCAGAACATAAGCTTTCGTTTGATTCACTGTCATATCCTTTTCTGTTTCAAAGCTATTGTAATTTAAACATAATCTTTTGTACTCTACTTTCTACTCTAATCCCTAGCTTTGGACATAATTGTATTTCGCAGGACTCGAACCCAGGACCTACCGGCTCCGCGCACGATCACTTAACCATCAGACCACTGAGCCGGCACCCAGATGTGTTAATGTCTAACTTCAACCAATCCACGAAGTTGCGCCATCGAAGACCAATGTCTTCAGTGAGCTGATATCTCACAACAGACCTGGTTGAACTCCACTGGTGACGGCTTCTCACAAGAACTCCAGAAGGTTCTCCTGAAGTCAGTCACCAGTGAGCAGTTGATTATTATCAGAATAAGTTTTGTGGAGATTTTAGTAAATTTCACAGGTTGAAATTATGAGTCAGTTGAAGCTAGACCACCATTGAAAACCTGGAAGCACTGGACGGCCGTTTCGTCCTAGTATGGACTCCTCAGTGGTGCGCATCCACGAACCCGCCTCCTGCGGGATTCGAACCCAGGACCTACTGGCGCAACTTCGTGGATTGGTTGAAGTTAGACGTTAACACAGTTGGATGCCGGCTCAGTGGTCTGATGGTTAAGTGCTCGTGCGCGAAGCCAGTGGGTCCTGGGTTCGAATCCCGCAGGAGGCGGGTTTGTGGATGATCACTGTTGAGGAGTCCCATACTGGGACGAAACGGCCGTCAAGTGCTTCCAGGTTTTCAATGGTGGTCTAGCTTCAACCGACTCATGATTTCAACCTGTGAAATTTACTAAAATCTCCACAAAACTTATTCTGATAATAATTGTATTTTTCTAACTGTTTGTACGTTCCTGTCTGGTTTGTTATCTATTTATTCATGTATCTTTTTACACTAATCTGAAATCGGGAACCATATCGGAATTGGGAATAAATCGTGTAGTGTTGCAGATGACTTATCTTCTCTCACTCGTTTGCTTGTCAGCCAATCAGTTGATAGAATAGTTCACGTCTCTCTACCCCAAGCAGTTGGTTTTACTTCGAACTAAATACGAAAGATTAGTTCAGCGAATAGTTCTCTTTTCGGCCGAAGCAATAGCCATACATCTGGAAAAACCAGAATTGTGTGTGCAAAAGAGACTGTGACAACCTCTTCTTCCACCATGGTCTTAATGTAATAAAACTTTTCTCTCTTTTTCATACTCTTGTTCCTTTACAGCCATCTGCTTCACCTTTCATCTTCCCTTTAAATCTTCTACCCCCAACTGGTTTGTTTTTATTTCCACAATCATTCCGATTACATTTCATCTCTGTTTCAACATTTTATCATGTTGAGCCATCCACTCCCAATGACAACTTCCCTATCTATCTTTTGATGAATACTTAAGCCAATAACAATCAAACAATTATTAAACTTTCCTTGTTTTGACAATTTTTAAAAATTTTTTTTAATACCTTTGTTTATTTAACCTCACTGTCACCATGTATAACAGAAGTTTATTATCAGTATTATTATCATCCTGTAAAAATAAGTATATGTATATGCGATTGTACAGCTTTGAAAATGAATTCGCCGAAAAAAGGAGAACTCTACTGAACTAATCTTTCTTATTTAATGTCTTAATGATTGTATTCCGTTTATTTACTTCGAACTCACACATACTAGCCTCAAGGTTAAGCCAGTCAATCTATCGCGTTAAGACTTTAATCTAGATTAGATGGTGGTTGAAGGTAGTCGACAGGAAACCCTGGACCCGAGTTTCGTGCTACTTGGCACTCTTCAGCAAGGTGTACCTGTAATCCTGAGGGAACCGATGCTCCCTGTCCTACAGGAGGTCGGCCGCGGCTCGGATAGCTCAGTAGTAACGTCTCTGACTGTGAAGCTGGGTGACACGAGATCGAATCCGCCAGCGAGCACCAGTTCCCTCAAGATTACAGGTGCACCTTGCTGACGAGTGCCAAGTAGCACGAAACCCGGGTCCAGGGTTTCCTGTCGACTACCTACAACCACCATCTAATTTCAATATATAGTGCTCGCAGTGTCGAGCCACCTAGACTGGTGGCCACATTGCGACACGATCGATAGCATTCGATCTGCACTCATAAGGACTAGACACGCATGACATTCATCACCACCCAGTGATCAATCAATTGTGACTTTAATCTAGATTAGACAAGTTATCCTCTGCACAAAAATGGGTAGACAGATCAAGAATGTAACAGTTTTGTTTAGTTAAGGTGCACAATCCTATTTACGTGTAAATTATTTATCAAATTTACTGATCTTCAAGAAAATAGAATGATGTTGAATAACGGTAAATAATTGCAGTCGTATTAAGTAATGAATTGCATACAAAACTAAGAAATTGAGAAGAAGTTGCGTAATGATGCGATGGCTTATGAACAATGTTTTATCCAAGGTGGTCAGCCACTGGACAGACGATAAAAACAGAGTAGACAACAGTTGTAGTCATCGTAATTTATTGAACGTGAATAATTATAGTGAAGGAGTAGAAAGGGAAATAGGAGATTATGGAAGACGGAGATGAATGTTAAGACCATGGTAAATGATGAATTGAACATAGTGTTTTTTTTACACAAAGGTTAGTCTTGAATTAATGTGAAACTATAGCCTATTCTGTACATCAGTTCTCATTTGTGTTCATTATCAACGAATTTCGCTGACTGTTTGAATGATTTCGAATGATAGTTCCGGAACAGCATGACTCAATACCATCACGATTGTTTTTCATCATTCAACAACATTCTCTTCCATCACACAGCACCAATTTAGGTGAATTGATTGAATGCAAAGACGTTTTTACATTCTATTCAAATGGAATCGTTGTAAAGAATATTATTTTTCGCTATAGTGTTTGTTTAATCTTATTTAATTACACTAGACGTCTTTTTCGTCTATGAATGACAGTAGTAGAGCCTATTTCCAATCATTTTTTTGATGTTTCTCCGTGAAACGTATTAGGTAACCTGTTATGTTTTTAGCTAAACGATGATCGCGAAATACTATTTTCAATTTAGATACATTGACTTATACGACCACGTTAATGAGACATATACCTGTACGGGAAGCCTAGAGTCCCAATCGCTTCTTTTTTCTCTCAATTTTGCTTGTTAAGTTCACAACGCCAATCTCAGTCTCCGAGATACGAATTATCTGTTTGAGATATACTAGGTTTATATACAAATAAATCAGACCATATCATACCATAAAATAGAAAATACACATTTGTACAAGATCTAGCCAAAAAGTAGCTATGAATGGCAGGTATATCTCAAGGACAGCAAATCATATGACAATAGTCTGTAGGTCAAATAAAAGCTTAGCAAGAAAGAAATATGAATATACATATACTATAGTTGCTTAATAGTTATACAA